GTTTCCTCTATTCTCTAGATTCTTCTGCATTTTGGGTCATACTGCTTCAGATAAGTGCAGAGTGAAGTGTAATTATGTCTGAGTCTTCACTTCTCAGTAGTTTAGGTCTGCTTTGACTCCTTTCCAACTTGTAGTATTTATGGGCATACTCAATATAAGATAATGCAGGATGAGCAAGCGCCGGACTGAGTTAGCATAGCACAGGAGATGGGTTAAGATGGGAAGCAGTTGCTCTCTGTGCAGCACTGGGGCTCTGCTACCTCCCACTAATTTTCTGTTAGCTTGACTGGGGATCCATGGTGTGGGAAGAAAGTAGGATTGAATCTTTATGGACATTTCGTACAGAAATCAGAAACTGGAGAGAGAAATCAGCCAGCATTAGCACTGATAAAAATCATAAATACCAATTGTATTCTGTGACCTACAAATAAACATCAACTCCTATTCCAAATACCCTTTAATAAATAAATACGATTGAACAGTTCTAGGGATTAAATAATCCCAGTACAATATCATTGCAAATGCTGCTTCTGACACTTCAATGTGCCTTGTTTGTGAAGTATTTAGAAGAAGTTAAATCTAAGAAGTCAAGTGTAGCTGACTTCTCTATATATAGAGGTAGTTTGGGGAGATTAAGTTATTTTTATGTGGTCGTGGAATCCTCTGCAAGAGGAAGCTGGAACCTTACATGGACAGGCTCCTTGGTGAAAGCAAGAATTCGATGAGCCGGGAACACGGTGGCCACTGATGCCAGGCAGAGGCAGCAGCAGGGATCCCAACCGCCTCCCCCTGGGTATGCACTGCCCTGCAGACTCCACAGAGCGTCCTCTGCCCTCCCTTCTCTGCCGCGGAGCGGTTCCTTCCACAGCTCCTTGCCCCTCTGTTCCCCCCGCGTCGCGCGGCATCCCCTGCCTGGCTAGCCGCCGCGGCAGCACTGGGCACTGGGCTGCTGCTTCCCCGCACCGCTGCAGACTGCTGAGCAGCCGCTTGTTTTGTTCTGGCAGCATAAGGCTTTTCTCCCGCCCTCCCTCCCTGCATTTTTTTCTCCCTGTTTTCTTCCATGATTCAGATCTGTTGTGTTCAGATCCACCTGGAAACCCTTTCCAGTCCGGCATCCCATCCCTACACCCCGGAACAAGGAGCGCTGACCCCAGCTCTTTTCTCTGGCTAACTCGAGTAAACTTAAAATTCAAGGAATCTCTTGAGAAGCAAATTGAAGTTTTTTCCCCAGTAAAATGTGAGGCAGAGACTTGAATAATCCTCTAACCAGTAAGAAAGTGCAGTACAAGGAGATTCCTTCATATACTGGTGTTAGTGACTTCAGTGTGGGAGTTAAGGATCGTTATTACCAGGTGAAACTGCTTCTTGCTATATATTCCTGAAGGTCGTAAAGCCAAATAGAAGGGAAGGGGGACATAGGTGCAGAAGAGTGGTCAGTCCTTTCTCACATTAAAAGCACACCCAGGTGGAAGATAAATGTGATGTAATTTTCTGGAGGAACAAAAAAAAAAAAAGAGAGGAAAAAAAAAGGTTAAATAATTTTAGTTGAATACTTAATTGTTTGAGGATTAACTTTTTAATAGTAAGACACAGCAAAAACAGTTAATACATATTTGAGCATTCCTTTGCTTTAGTAATGTCACATTACCTCAAAGCACATAATACGAGATTAGAGTGTAAGAAAGAAATCTGTGGTTTCATATTTTCTTATTTGCAAAGGGGAACTCTAAAGTCTAGCAAAGTTAATATGAAAATGGACAGGGCTGGTTCGTGATAAAGCTTAATGACTACTCTGTGTTCAAATCCTCACTGAAAGTTTGTTTGAATTGCAGGACACTGTGGGGCTAGTAGATTGTCTCTACCTCTTACACAGCATCCTGAAGAGGTGACTGGAGGTGAATGGTGAAGGAAGAAGGGTCACTTTTTAGGGCTGTGTCTTAGATACATAAGAAAGCTTATTCCCATATGCAGGAGAAGTAAGAGACACAGCAATAATGCTCTAAATTGTATGAAGGAGAACTTAGTTTTTAATGTTAAAGAACAAGATCATCTTTTTTTAAAAAAGTAAAGCAGGCGCATAGTTGCTAAAATAGCCAAGATGTGTGAGAAATTTGCAGAAAATATGTCTGAAGTAAAAATGAACAAAAAAGTGTTAGTTTTAAATCAAAAGAATCGGAGCTATTTTTCGTTACAACCAAAGCATAGCAGAGTGTTCTCCAGCAATCTGTTTTTCCTCAGATTTTTTACTCTCGTTTATCTGAGAAATACATTATTTGTGTGCAGTGGAAACATCCAACTGAATAACTTAGTTTCTCATGCGTTTTTCTAGTTCCTTTACTGCATATAACCCATCTTGATCGTTTGATTGACCTGGAGAGCACCATACACTGCAGCTTTGGCACCCAAGATAAACAGTATTAGCTAACTGATGAGAATCAAATGAAAGGGGAGAAGGGGCCTGCCTGCCCTGCCTTGGGATTTTTGGTGCAACAGAGTTTATGTTCCCCTCTCTGTGTTTTTCCTCTTTCTTATATAAAATGAACAGCTGTAATTGAAAAGCAAGAAGCTCCATGGTTTATAGAAATAGGTGTTGTTAAGAGCCTTAGCCATCTAATTTTCTTCCTATTGCAGGGCAGGCTTCCTATTGTCTGTGCTTTAGAGCTAATTTCTTTTCTGATCAAAAGGCTCGCATCGTTGAAAAGGTAGTAATGACTATTCATTTGGTTGAAACCTCCATTCTGCAGCCGGCAAAGCTTTATTTAGAAACTGCTAATTCTTTCTAAAAGGAAAACCTCATTTGTGTCCTCTATAATGTCAATTAAACCAGAATATATTTTAATTATTTATCCTAGAGAGAAACCGTTCAGGATCTCCATTGGCTGCACCAGTGATACAGGCTGTAGCATGGAACAATATTTGCCTTTAAAATTGTAGGTCCGAGAGTAGGAGCAAGGTATGTTTCGATTTTATTTTGCCACTAATTAGTAGTTTATTTGCAGCTCATTCGAAAGTTAAACTTCCACAATTAATGTCTGATATAACTCATGAGAGCAGCAAGCCAGCAGATGAGGTGCCTTGCAGGAGCTGTGAGGAAAATATCCCGGGAAGGATTCACCAAGTTCTAGGAGCAGGAGCACAGGGGGTTCCGCGGCGTTTTGTGCGTTTCTGCGCGTGGTCCTGCGCAAGGAGCGCGGGGCTGGGGCCCAACGCGCGGCCCTGCCGCCTCGCGCGGCGCCCGCTGCCCCGGCAGGTAG